CCACATTAACATCACACCTCTGTTATCTAGAGAGACCTGCCGACCGCCTGCCCAGGCCCTTCCCTCTTGGGGCGTTCTTCCCAACTACAACAACAGTGCGCCATCCTTGTTATAATCGCTCGGTCGAGGGTGGGAAAAAAAAAACAGGCACCCCGACCGCAGCCAGACAATCAGAACCTTCCAATGGGATTTTATAAGGAACCCAACAAAAGCCCTTTTGAGGCAAAAAGAAGCGGAAGCATATTCCTTGCCTGGGGGAAGCCAGCAACATAAAGAGAAAACAGAAACAGAGGAAGCCACAAACAAGGCACCGTCTCTTCGCAGCTTGGTCACCATCTCCTTCTAACCTGTAACCCCCCCAAATATTCGGAACTTGAAACGTCGGACCTCATTTGAGCAGCTTTAAACCAAAGCAATTAAAATGGCTACCCTAAATACATTGTTTTAAGCAATTAGTCCCTGAAGATTTTCTATACCAGATAAATAATGCTTCCCTTTGGATATAAAATAGCTTTAAAACTAATTCTAAAAGCTCAAATTCACTAAAAAAACTTTTAAATATCTAATTTAAACAAGTCTGCTTAAATCATTCAACATGCTCCAACACACTAAAAAATACATTTATGAGACCTTCACTGCCGCAATCATTTATGGGTATCCAAAATGTAACAAGACAAAACTGCCTTCTAAGTCATCTGCCTTTGTATGTCAATATATTCAACTGCTTAAAAAGACTAAAAAAAAAGGGCACTGTCCATCACTGATGGGTATTAAGTTAGAAAGCAGTAGCATAATCAATTAACACACCAATAAAAACAGTCTTATCCCACACTGAGCTTACCACAATAAAATTTATACCAGACCACAGGGGACTGAAATTTTCACCTTAATGCAAGTTACATTTCAATCAAATAGACTTTACTTAATAGACTGCAATGCAGCAACACAATCAAATAAACAAACTCTATGCACATCTCTTAAAATCACCATTGAGTCCTTTTTCCCTTTAAGTCAGGCCTTTTGAAAATTTCTGAAGCTCGTAATAGCAAGTATAAATATAATGCAATATAGATTGACTATTCATAATCCTAAAATGCTATTACCTATAGCGGTAAAAACAGTGCCATCGTTGGTAAAAAAACTGGAATCATCCATCCAATAACCTTATCACCAAGATGCCAAACAATAAACTGTTAGCACCAAGGTCAACACAGAAAACGGAACACAGATCCCAATTGAGCAATTTACCCGAGTATATAAGGTAAATATTAGAAGCAATCCCTGATGCCTCTAAATAATATGATTTCCCTTTAAGTGCACAAATTATTTGTTCCTTAAATCCTAGGACGATCCAAATAATATTAAAAGGCACAAATAAGCTGTATTCTGACGAATATTTCCCAAATTAATCTGATGCACGTAGAAACAAGACCGATTGAATATCGTCCTTCTTTTTGTGATCTTTCCAAATGGCCCCATTCATGGCAACACTAACATGCTAAACAGGGACAATTTATTCTCACATGTACTATAACTTTTGTAACACAGAAAACACATGAAATCACCAAAATACACCATCCAGGTTAGATTCATCTTAGAACTCCATCCCTTTTTTTCAAAACTAACAGAGTAAAAAAATAGACAATTTGAAACAAGGCTGTAAAGGACCATGTTAGTCAACTCAGAGCCCCCCAAAAAAGATATTGGAACAAAAATACAGAGTTTACAACTATCCCACAATGACCACCCACATACCTGCTGAATGAATAACAGGATACATTGTTATATATCTATGGAAACTTCACGGGCATGTCACATTAGAATGCTACATCTTAAAGCAAACAAAATACAACAAACTACTACAAAGTATAATTATTTTATAACCTTAAGTAGTTCAAAATAACCATTAGCAAGAACTCAAAACAAATAAACAATCATTAATGAACAACGAATGGTTACTGAAAAAGTGCACAAGAATTGCAAATTTCCATGAATAAAAAGGATTCAGACTCACCCCAAGACAGCACCCCTCTTTATGCAGCACATTGTGACTACTTTACTAGATTAAACTCTGACACACAAACCAGTCCTGAACAAACACCAGAACACAAAAGAAAAACCACCAATCAAGTAGATGAACAGTACACACATAATTGATTACAGCATCGATTAGTAAATAGGACACAGAACACATAATAAGCATAAAACATACATCACTGCGATTATTAACAGGAAATTATTCATGTCTGTAATAAACCTTTCAATAATCAATAGCTATTTTAACAGTTCCCATAAGTTAAAACGCTGAGAGGTCAGGCTATAAACGTATACAAATAACTCAGATTTTCAAAGCAGCCCACTCCATGCCAAACACAACAACGGATTCCTGTGCACCTTCCCCCATTCCCAGCGAACAAAAATACAAAAAAAAAACGAGCGGCCGTTTAAACAACTTTATTAAATGGACGCTCTCTTGGAAACCAGCAAGGTTTGCATCCATTGATCAGAAAGAAACAACACCCATCGTAATCAAAAGCACTGACACAGACTACACTCTCAGATGCTCCTGACTGCAGGTATGTCAACTCAAAAATTCACAGCTCTTAAACTTCCATGGCGACCAAACACTCGATCATGTCTGATCCCGACCAAGAAATAAACGGCAGATTCCGCCGGAATCACAGAGATATGCACCCCTCGACCCGCAGTCCCATAGCCAGCCAGCGCATTCTCGGCCGCCCGGCTGCGTACCAACCTTCCAACCTCTCCGCCGGCCTCGGGAACCCAACCCCAAAGCGGCAGGGCAACCCAAAACCACCTCGGCCCCGCCTGCCAGGACCCTCCTGCGTGCACCCCCCGCCGCCTTCCGCAATCCGTGACTTCGCCCGCCAAAGTGGGATGCGGCCCGGGAGCAGAGCCCCGCCAAGGGGGCTGCCCGATCGCACGCGGGCAGGCGATCGGGAGGGGGGCAGGACGATGCCAGCATCACAGCCATATTTAACATTAGCTTTTCTGCCAAAAACCTCCCTGTGTCCAACAATATGCCTTTAAAGGAAAAAAAAAAAAGACCTAAGCACTAAAGCGCTGCCCCAAATCCCTCCCGCTTCCACTCCCCAGGATCTCACTCTCTCTCTCCTCGGAGGCCACCGACCTGCCCTGCCTGGCAGGTACACCTGCCCGCGTGGAGACGCGGGCCCGCCCCGCCCGCCCGCTACCGGGGACGAGTCCAGGACGGTCCCCGCCCCGCGGGAGCTGACAGCGCGGCGGAGCGCGGCGCAAACTCCCATTCCCGGCTGCGGGCCACCGACCCGCGGCGGCGGGGCGCACGGCACCGGCCTGGGGTGGGGTGGCTCAGATCAGACGGACCTCGTCCTGCACCCCCCGACAGGGCTCGACGGTCCGGGTTGGCCAGAGCGGCCGCCGCGCCGCGGCCAGGACACCGCGGGCACGGCCGAGCGAACACCGGAGGCCGGCCGGCTCGGCTCCCGCCCCCAGCACCGCCGCCGAGGAGAGGGACGAAGGAAAAGAGGAGAGGAAGTGGAAGCGCGCCCACGAGCCTTACCGAGTGATTTACCCCACATAGGACGCGAGCAGCGGGTTCCTGGCCCGAAACAGCTTCACTTTCCGCGACGAATCTTCTCTGTCTTGAATCTTGCTCGCCAACAAAGAGACCCCAGGTGCCGGTCCCATGGCCGCCGCCCTCCCGTCCTCCACCGCCGCGCCCCAGGCGGGACCCCGCCCCTCTACACCCCGCCGGGTAGGCAGCGCATCCCCCGCGCCCCGGCGGCCGCGCCGCCCGCCCGCGCGCCCCGCCCGCCGCTGGCCAGGGCGCCGCTACGCTCCGCCCGCGCGCCCGCCCCGCGCGTCACCCGCGGCGACGCGCCCGCGAGCGGCTCCCGTCTGCCCGCCAGTGACGCAGGGCGCGGGCCGCTGGCGCCGCCCGGGCCGCGGGCGCGGCCGCCGCCCGGACCGTTAGGCTGCGCCTGGGGCCCGGCCCGGCCGCCGCGCGCGCGGCGCAGGGGCCGCGAGGA